TATTTTGATAAAATTACGTAATGTGAGGGCTATTTTTTTTATAATGAAATTGGATTTTTGATATAAGCAGGATTGTGAAAAAAATACTTTTTTAAAAATATATTTTTGTGAAAGAATACAAATAAGAGGTAAGATGAACACAAAAACGATTACATTCCAGAGATCTGACAAGTAATAGCAGTACCAAGGTGAATAGTACTCGTATTTACCGAATGCAATGCATTCCTCTTGAAGAGTTGCTATATCAGAGGCATCACCGAGCGAACGTTGATCACTGGATATGCTTATTTGACTGGCTGAATCGCTGGTAACTATCAAGCGATGATGAGTACAATGGCAAATGCACAACAGAACACAATATGTAATAATAAAAAAGAATAACATTTCACAGAAGCATGTGTGAAGCAGGTACAATGAAAGGTGATATTAAGCACCATGCTTTCACTCTGCAATATCATACTGAGTTACAGTAATGTAGTATGTACAGGCTTTAAATAAATATTAATACAAAAAAATGTTACTTCTTGAATTAGATGTAGCAGTAGCTCTTGCTACTTTCTATTAGCGTAAACCAAACTAATATTTTTATAATTTTATATATGTATATAAGTATATATATATTTATTTACTTATTTATTTGTTACAAAATGTAACTCAGGACAGTGCATTTAAAATTGATATTTTGAAGCTAACGTTTCTTTAACAAACCTGAAGATAATAAATTAACTGTTGTATCGTTTGGCACTGCATCTGGTTGTGTAACTTGTTCAACTTCCTCTGCTGCGGCAGAATCTTGTACGCTTAGTAACAGACCGCCTAAAAATAAAATATATATACATGTAAATATTATAAAATAATATTTCTCTGGAAAGGAATTATTTTTTATAACTTACCAAGAAGCATATGAGTATTTTGCGGATCAGTTTCTACTTGTAATGCATTAATAAGCAAGTTCATCAATCTTGATTTTAATTGTGCAAAAGTTATTTGAGTTTTTTCAGAAGATGTGTTTGGAAATGTTGGAAGTTCTTTAATAGGGAGATTCTACACATAATATTTTAAAATTAAATAATATATTTATGATATATGATAAATATCATTATGAATTACCTGAAAGTGTAAGGGTAATGCTAACATCGATATAAGTAAATGTATTGAAGCTCTTCTTAAATCTGGTTTTGAAACAATATTAGATTTTAATTTCAAATCTTTCTCAGGGAGTACAAGTTCCAAGGCAGATAATACTGCAGGTACTAACACTTGTACACCATTCAAGTCTAAGCGAAATAAATCCGACGAATTCAAAAGGATGTATGCTAATGTTTCACCGCACTCTTTTGTCTATAAAATATATAAAGAAACATATAAATTATAATTATTCATAATAATTTAAAATAAATTATAAATAACAAAGACACTTACATCATCTAATTTCAAACCATGATGCATTGCTTGATAAAATCTAGCTAAATAAACAGGTAATATTTCTTCTCCAGTTTTTTTGGCACAAAAAATTCTACAGAGTGCACCCATAGCTTCTGCTCTACCTGATTCATAACGATCTATACAAAGTGTAGGAGGTACTTCATTAACAGTTTCTTGTAATGAGCTTGGACCATCTACAAGTACTGAGGATGGACGTTTTGATGCTCCTGATGGCTCTGAAAAATAAAATATTATATATTATTAAAAAAGTACAATAGAAGCTTCTAATATAAGAAGAGAAGAAATACATACGTGGTAAATTTTGTGACCATCCGTTTGTTCCTATAAAAGCAGCTTCGAACAACCATTCTCCAAAAAGATGCAATATACTATTACACTTTGGTCTTCCTGGTGCCAAAGGAGGTCGAATATCTTGACCAAGTGAGGTCATAGCTATAATTATAAAGCATACCATTTCATTATCAAATCTATTTGATAGTAAAATCACAGTATCATGAAATATCTTACAAGTTGTACTAGATGCTGACGATGGTCCTGAATTCGATATCAACATTGGGGGTGTACTAGACACACGACTGGTTGTTAAACTAATCAAAGAAGCTTTTGGTATTCCTGTATAATCAAAGCAACAAAATTAAAATGAATAGTAGATTATTGTTAAATATTATTCCATTTTTACATTAACTTCCACATGGAAGACTTCTTTTCTGCTCTTGCAATAATACAAAGGAAAGAATATAAAGATAACAGATGAAATGATATACAAGTTGAAAATAGCATAAGAAATATGATAGCAAGAAAAAGTATAAGATGCTGAATACCCTTAGTAACCGCAGAAGGTGTAACACTGAAACTTTTGGCAAGTCGGCGTTGTGTTGGAGGTGTAGGGGAGGGTTGTGGTTGATCCTTGCCACTTGATCTGTCCCACCCAACACCTATGTTTCCATTATTATTGCTTCCAGATGCAATGTTGGATACACAACATTCTTCCCAGCAACATGCTTGTGAAACTCCTAAAACAATTGTGTGAATGTGCACCCACCACCTATGAGTGATCAAATTGTTAAGCAACTACTTGTGCTCTACAAAATGTTTGCAGAAAAAGAAATTATTAACATAAAGAAATAATAAATATTTTATGAAAGTTGTAATATATATTTATATATAAAAGATATTTCTAAACTATACAGAGATATTTGTACACGCCCAAAATGTATTATATAGGTTTGATTGACCGAAAAGTTTAACTTACCAAGAAATGCATCAACTTGTCCAGCTATTCCTTTTATAGCTTTCAAAAATATTTGTGGCAATCCTTGTAGACATGGATGTTGACAAGGATCTATAACATTTGGGCTAGCAATAGCATATTGGAAAAATGCTTGAGTTTGTGATACTACAGCTGGTCTACATAAATCCACAGGATCTCCAATAGTTCGTAAAAGTCTGTACCATGCTTGTGCAACAGCTTCCTCTGACATAGTTGGTGGCACTAGTTGTGCATCTTCTTCGCCTAAAAATAAATAATTAATAATATCTTAGTACGTATACCTATATTATGCAAAATTAATTGAATAAAAATCTACTAACTTATTTTTAATTCTGGAAACATCGGTCCATACATGATTTGTAAAAGTCGTGCTGTGAGTGCTAGGCACACACGATTCCATTGTTCTATTAAAGCTAATCTGTGCCGCCAACGCAGACATGATTCTCGTAATGTACGCCATAAAGGTGGAGCAGGGAAATTACGTTCACAAGCTACCAACCATACCTGAAATAAAAGTTTCAAAATTAATATATTTATTTTTCATACAATAAAATGATTAGTACGTAATAAAATTCTGAATACCTCTAATAGTACACCAAGTACTCTTTCGCATAACTGTTCACCAGCATCTTCCCTTGTTGCTGGTGGTGCTAATAATGCATCATTAATTCCGATAAGAAATAGTAATAAACTTTCCCAAGTTTCTCTTTCTAATGATGCTGGACCTCTTGCAATTTGTTGAAGAGTTCTAAGCACTCTATGGCATAATACAGCTTGTCTGTTTATAGTATCACTTCCTACAAATATATATAATTATTAATTCCACAGATACATAATGACATGAAATAAAAAGTCCAGAGTCATTGTTTCTAAAAATAAAAATATTAATACTGTATTACTTATTACCTAAATCCTGATATAAAAATGGCCAGACTATGAAAAGAGAAGAGGATCAAATATATAAGTAGAAGAATATTAAATCTAAAGAAATATATTTATATATAAGAATAAATAGAAGAAATAGTGTATTTAAAATGATAATTTTTACCTTCTCCTTTTCGAGGAATAAATAAATTATGAAAATGACTTATAATTTTTCTAGCATAGAAATTTGGATCATCTATAATCGGTCTTGGTACAGAAATTTTTGGTGTAGAATATAATGCAGATAGCCATTCACAATATACATTAACACAATCTCTAACGGTATCATGTTCAGCCAAAGGTAAAGAAAGACCATAACAAATAACTTCCATACACCATTGTACTTCTTTATCGGTGCATAATGGACTAGGTTCAGCTGCTTGAGTAATTCCAAGATTAGCAGCTAGTTGACGTACTATAGATAATGCGACTTCTTTTCCTGCTCCAGGTGAAAACTTTTCTAGTACACTTTGACTTTCTTCTGAACCTTGCTGAATCAGAATGCTTAAAGAAGCCCATTCTGAATACATTCCTCCTTGGGAATCCTGTAATAATATAATATTATATATAAATCTTATTAAATAATTTGAAATATTTTATGATTGATAGATACTTACTTTATGATTGACTCTATTGAATACGCCTAAATTCATAGATTATTGTATACTATACATTCAAAAATTATTTTTAGTTCAACTTAACAAAATCAATGACTTTGTTTGATGCACTCCCATGAATATTGTTCACTTCATATAATATGTATTTATATTGTACGTTTTAAGATCATACATTATCTTATTCATTTCCAATGTCAAGAAAAAAAATGTAATAAAAAATTATCTTTTATTTATATTACTTATTAATTATGTTGTCAATGTCAAACCTAATTATAAAGAAATTAACATATTTTCTTTAATTGATATTAATTAAAATATTAATATATATTTATTTTAACCTATATGTCTCCGATAGAATTAAAACACAAAATACATGATATATACATAAAGATCTGTATAATGTGTGAGCATATATCAAAAAGTTGCCAAAAATACTGAGGTCAGAATATCACAGAAAAGATAATTAACTTTTTTTTTATAATACCTCTCTCTCTTATAAGATAGTAACAAAACTCAAAGGATTATTTTTGACAAAATCATACATCTTATATCACTGAATATTGATTTTTTCTTCTAACAGAAATTAATATCTTTAAATTTATATTAAATACTACACTGTTTTACACCATTTTACAATACCCAACTAAAACACTATGATGTAAGTAAAGTACTAGTTTAAAAAACTCTACAATATTAATTCTCCAGTTTATAGGTGGCGCAGTGATGCATTGGTAGAATATTCATTGAATTGATTCATTTTATTATAATTATTTTTCCATGTAATATATCGTAAATTTCTAGAGATTAGAATAATGAGATGGAATTAAAAACGTTACATCTAATAATATAAGACATTATAAATTGTAAAATATTTATAATCTAACTTAATTAAAATTAAAAAAGTCAAAAAATTAAAAAAAGTCTAAAAATTAAAAATATTTTACAAATTATATTACAAGTTCTTAAAATAAAACTATAATTATTATTTTTTTATAGACCAAATAGAGACTTAAGATCATTAAGCGTTAATTTTGAATTAATTTTGTTGTTTTCACCACTTAATACATTTTGAGATATTGCTAACTTTTTGTCTTGCAAGAGTTTGATACGTTCTTCTATAGTATCTTTACAAATAAACCTACAAAAACAAAAATTATTATGATATATATATATATATATATATATATATAATTTAATGTATAATTTTAAAATACATTTTTCAATTAAAAAATAAAAGTAAAGATATTTACTTATAAATGAATACATCTTTTTTCTGGCCAAATCGATATACTCTATCTTGTGCTTGAGACTCTAACTGTGGATTCCAATGAATGTCGATAAGTAACAGATGATTTCCTCCTACAAGGTTTAATCCAACTCCACCAGCAGTGAGTGAAAGTAACAAAATTTTTGGATCTTCATTTGGATTATTGAAAGATTCTATTATGCTCTAACAAACATGTCACATGTATATAACTTATACTATGAATGCATTTAAAAGTATATCAATTATAAATAAAATAATAAGAATAATCACTTACTTGTCGATTTTTAATAGGAACTCTGCCTGAAAATTCAGTAAACGTAGCCCCTTTAATCGCAGATAAATGAGATCCAATAATATCAAACATGCTTGACCATTGCGAAACAATTAAAAGTTTATCTTTCTTTTCTATAATTTCTTCTACCACATTAAATAGTGCTTTCATCTATATCAAAATAATATAAAATTAACATAATAAATTCAATCTATATGTTTAATACAATTAATTGCTATGTAAAAATCTACATTATAATATGATAATTTTTCTTTTTCTTCCTCTTTTTATTAGGACTTTGTCCTGTTATAATAGCTTTTTTTTTGCTATTTCTAGGAGCGATTTATTGTTTTTACCGAGGGTAGGTTGCTAGCCTCAACCCCTCGAACCCTCTCCTTTTTATCTGGGCTTGGGACTAGCTCTAGATGTTAACTAAGCAGATAAATCTTGGCATCAACGGCACATCGCGGTTTGACTTAATGATCAAGCAGGAACTAGTGCTGTCACCGTGCCATAGCCGTTGACATGATAATTTTTTATTATTTATATACTAACGTCGTATAAAAAAACAATTACTTACTTTGGAACTCAACCGATCTGATTCAAATACTGGATTTGTAGAAGTAAGTAGATTTTTTGAGACTTCTTGATCAATACCTATCTCTTTGTTATTTACATCTTGATTTTCTTCATTCTCGTACAGTGACATATTATTTACACGCGATATAATATCATTATTTTCTTCTACTATTCCACTTTGTTCCAAATCATCTTGATCCAACATAGCATGAATTAATGATGGATGACAACATATTTGGCGGAGACGCAATAAAAGTACCAAAATTTCATGTGATTTAACGTCAGCGTGGAGTGACAATAATTTATTTTGAGCATTTGTAAATTGTGTTTTTTTATCTACAGAATAAATAATATATTTATTATACATTTAAAAAAAAAACATTATTATTTTTCAATATATCTTATTAATATATATTCATTCAAAATAGAACTTACTTGGATTTGACAAAAAAGTTGGCTTATCGTATAATCCAGATTCTAAATCTACCATGTGATCTTTTTCTGCCCTTTGCGCTAAAAATTGTGCAAAAAGCGTGCGAGAATATATTAAAACTTTTTCGTAAACTAATTTTTCTTGTGGATCAAGGTTTACTTCAATTTCTTTGATATTCTTATTAGGTAAGCTTTCAAGAGCACCTTGCGCTTGAAGTTCTTGTTTTGTTCTTCGAAGCATAAGACTTTTCATAAGTGTTGCTAATCGTTGATGACCAGAAACATTTTTATTGTCTACCCAACGTTTCCATACACGAATATCATCAAAAGGAGAACATTTCAAAAATTTCAATAAAGAATATAAATCCATTTCTTTATTTTGTATAGGTGTTCCGGTAAGTGTCCATCTTTTATCTGCTAAAAGACCACACACTGCTTGAGATGCTTGACTTTTATGATTTCTTATACAGTGTGCTTCATCTAGAATGATTCTTTTCCAATGAATCTAAAAAAAATTAATTAAAATTTAAATATAATATGCTTTAATGAAATTATAGATATCATCATATTGCACATATATCATAATTATACCTTATATGTTGTAGACATGGTTTTAAACTCACGGGATAATATATTGTATGTTGTTATTACAACATCATACTTTGCCAAACGGTTAGATATTTTTTCTCTATTATTACCATGGTAAACTTCTACTGACAATATACCTCTTTTACATTTACTTTTAATTTCATTTTCCCATTGTGATAATAAGGAAGCCGGGCACACAACCAGTGTTCCACCTTTAGAAACTAAAAATAAAAAGTTTTATTTTAAAAACATACCAAAATATGTAATTCATGATTTCGTAAATTAATCATATTTAGAAACTTAATACTTTTAATTACAATTAATAAACAAATATACTTTACATACTTATAGGTTTATTTGAAGTATACCATTCATCATCACTCTCTGAATCATCTTGATTACGAGTGGCCATGATTAAAGAGATCATTGTTAAAGTTTTACCCAGGCCCATATCATCAGCTGAATATTTTCATAAAAAAAGATACATTCATGATAATGTATTAGTACAGAATACAAAATGCAAATTAAATGTTATAATTATTAATCAACAATAATATATAAGTAATACCTAATACACCACCAGGTGGTCGTTTTCTCTCTCTCCACATAAGCCATGCTAATGCATGTTGTTGATGTGGCATTAGTTTAACTTTTAAACCAGGTGGATCTTCCGCTTTTGTATCTTCTGAAGGTTGAGCTACAAGTGATCCATGCAAATCCTGTAATCTTTCCGCTGTTAAAGTAAATTCACGGTTTAAGGTTTCTTGTGCCCTTTTACCCAATTTCTTTGATTCTATAGTTTCTGCAGATTTTCCAGGTTCCGTATAAACATATTCAGATGTAGATTGCAGATATTTCGACGATAATAAAGATTTCTCTTCTTCTTCTTCATCATCAAGAATAATTTGTTCATTTACTTGTTTAATAGGTTGTATTAAAGGTGTTCTTTCTAATTTTTCTTTAATCTCCTTCATCTCTTTTTCTTGCAATATAATATTTTCTTGCAATTTTTTTCCTTTGTCTGGTAATAAATCTAGATTTGCAGTATTAAGTAATAACTAAAAGTATAAAACATTTAGAAATTAGTATAAAATATTAAAACTGCATAATATATTTTTGTACCTTTGTTTTATCTATTTGGTTTTGTAGATGCCGTAATTTACAAGTAAGAAGAGCATTTTCTTGAGCTGCTAGTGGATTTATATTTCCAACTCCAATTTCCTGTTTCGCAAGAGATATTGCCAATGCATTCTCTTCGCTGCTTCTACTCTTTGGTAAATAATCTAAAAGTTAATATCACGATTGTTATTATTAATTTCTTTTTTTATTCGTTTTTTCTATAAGTGTTTATATTAAATCTATGAAAATCTAAAGTTGTTATTAATGTAGGATTTCAAAAATTTTTCTATTCTAAAAATAGCTATTACATTTGCTAATATGAAAAACACCTTTATCTTCCTATCCTAGAAATATCTATTTATACTTAACTACAAGAAAAACATTATATATTTGTAAATATTCGGCAATGATCGTCTCTTGCCTTTAAACTTATTCACACCTTTACTTATGATTTTTTTCTAATCCCACATTAACAAGAATGTAAAGAAATAAAAAAATGTATGTTAGTTATCTTTTCTAAAACAATAATATGAATAATATTACATAAATGAATTGTAGTACCTAAATCTGAATCTGAATCAATATCACAATGAGTTAAATTCACAATAGATAGTTCTTTGTCTTCTGGACGAGTAAAATCCACTATAGATAGTTCTTTGTCTTGTCGATTAGCATTAATTTTTTCTTTTTCTGATAAATTTTTCTTGTCATCAACCAACTTTTGCTCTGAATTCTCAGATTCATTAGTATCATTAAAATCAACAGAATCATCATTAATAGAATCAAAATACTTTCCTAATTTGAATTCTTTTACATTATCCTTTGAATAATCATGTGTAACATCTTTCCTTTTATAATTTTCAGCATTTTTAGAAGAAGTCGACTTAGAGTCATCTGTTAAATTAAATCAAAATAAAAGATCCTTTAAAGCTTCAATTTGTAATCATTAATAGATATTTGTATAAGGGATGTTTTGTAATTGGTAGTACAAGCGAATAGGAGATGATTCTATATGAAAAACTAAGTCAATAACATAGAATAAAATTTGTTCAAAGAAGACTTCGATTTCAAGAAAAATAAGTTGGTAAATTTGTCAAGTATGTGTATATATTTTGTATAAATTGTACATAAAATATACCATCTGAAATATTATCGGCTTCTGATTCTGATTTTGAATTAGATAACTTTTCATCAACATCGCTAATACTTTCATTATCTGAATAAATTATACGGTGCTTCATAAAACTCTTCTTTACTTTGTCCTCAATAATTGGTGAAGAATATAAGTTCAATGATTCCCTTTGAACATGAAAATAGATTATAATTATAAGAGATTTTGCATTAATCAATGTAATGATTAAAGACATGTAATATAATACAATACAAGGAACGGTGCATACAACGCAACAGACAGTCATAATTTTTAACTGCACAAAGCAGATAATACTATTTATTCATACCAATCTTATTTTTTCTACAATTTACATTTTACAATGCTCTTACAAGAGATCATACAATGATCTTATAATAAAGTTATTATTAATACTTATATACTCACCTTTTCATTGAAATAGATTCATCTTTGTCACTACTGTCAATAAAAATATCTTGTCTTATATTCTCAGATGTTATATCATCGTCACTATCTAAAATAACTGATGAAATATCTTCATTTAAACTAATGGAAGTATTTTTCCACATTTTCACAATAAATTGATATATTAAAATTATTTATTATATTAAATTATTTAAATGTATACTATATATACAGTGTGCTTTTTGATGAATTCGTAATAAGATCAAGTAATAAGTTGCTTCTATATAACGGATCAACTTTTCTCAAAAAAACTGTATATTTCAAATTATCCAATCACGTTACCGGCTTTTTGTGGTAAGTTAAAGTCTATGAAAAAAAACTTTAATAGATCCGTTTTTGTTATGGGTTATATATAGCTCGTCTCGAACAATATCGTATAAGTATAAACAAACGTTGAAACCATGAAGACTACACATGGAGCACGAACTCAAACGTATTAATTGCCAAAATCTGTCCACGCAAATCGTATATTTAAATTAATATTCCTTTTGTACTGCTCTGAATATAGTAACATACCGATTATTACTATTACTATTTACTATTAATATTAATATTAATTCATTTTTTTACGATTATTAAATAATTATTTATTTAATTTCAATTATTTATACTTAAACAACCTAAATGATTGCTGTTTTAGTTTCGTATTATTATTTGTATTTCAAACTGCCGCCTTATTCCCCTTCCATTTGGGTATAAATAGACACGAGTGCCTTCTTATTTTTATATCCCATTTGTATACATGAAGTTCTTGCTTCTATGGCCTATTGGAGAAGGTGGATAACGGTTAGTAAATACCCATAAGCCGGGCAATGTACGAAATAACAGGTCATTCTATTACAATCTTCCACGTGCTAGACTTAACTTTTCAGCCCTGCTATACGTAGTAAACACAAAAAATTGTTATTAAATATAAGTACTACTTCCATTTATTCCGTGTAGGTATGATAAAAAGTATAAATAATATTTTTTTTTTTTTTTTTTTTACGAGCTATTAGAATGCACATATGTATGAAGCCATATGCAAGCCATACATATGAATAGTGCACCAATAGCATCTCAATTGCACTCACTAGCGTATCATTGGTGCCCCTCTAGCGTATCAATGGTGTTCCACTAGCGTATTAATGGTGTTCCAACAGTATTTTAAAATGGCGTCACAAGGACGCCAGAATGAATTGGCAATTAGTCAATTATTCAGTAATTTCTAGCCTTGGCAGCTGATTACAGCAATCAGTACGTATATAAAAGAGTTTAATTTTATTTAATATGTAGGTCACTTGTATCTTTTTACCTTAAGTATAGGAAATCTTAAAGCAAGATTTTCAAATAAATTACAAAGATGTGCACTGTTCCGCAGTGCATTCTCGGAAAGTTTATGCCTAATAGATTGTTTATTACGCACACACAACTTGGTGTATTTTAAGATATAATAATATTCATACATTTTATCTACTATCGGAACACAAACTGCAAACAGTTGAATAGAATATTGCCAATAGTGATGACCCTAAAACAAAAATTAATTTTATATAAATATGTACATTCAATCGAATGGATCGTTACTACACATAAAAATAAAAAGTAAATACGCATGTTAGAAAACAAACGCCTACAAATAAAAAACATAAAATAAGAATGTATTGAGTGCTACTTTTTTATTGATCTATTGTTTTGTATTTTTAAAGATAGACTTTTATTTATTTCTATATGCCTTTATATTGATTCTTTGATTATGAAATTATTTTAGAAAATAATTATTAAATGTTATCTGGAATATTTTATAAGCATAATAGAAATGTATATGCATATTAAAATATATATATTAAATGTATTAGATTGCTAGAAAATTAAGATAATCAATAAGTATATTTGTGTATATATCGATTATTAAATTAAAATTATCAAAAATAATTGTTAAATTTATCTAAAATTTTTGATTAATTAATTACAATGCACATACGTATTGAAACATCATTAAGACATCATACTATTCTTGGGAATCCAGTATAGGTCGATCTTTTTAAATCATTTCTTTTAGTGAAATAAATTATATTTTACCTTAAGGGTATATGTTCTTCATGCGTTGCATTATGTCTAGTTGCATCGAGTGCATCCATTTTATATGTTATACATTCCATTGCAAATAAAATCTAGCCAAAGACCGCATACCATAAACATTATAATTGTAATTAGTTTCTTTTAACTTCCTAATTAATACCATATTCTTTTATTCTTTACCTTRGTTCCTTTTATCGATTTAATATACAGAAATTAATTACTATATAATTAATTACTTCATAATTATTTATATTCTCGATCTTTTTTTTATAGATTCATAGAACTAATGTTATAGAAGACTATAAATAATATTGAATAGCTTGGAAAAATATAAATAAATGTATCTATCAATATATTTATTATATGTATATRTACTGTGAAAGGCATTTAAATGCCACCCTCGAATMAAAATTTTGACGTTTTTCTAAAATCCAATGGGAATCAAGATATTCCGGTGGTTTAAATCGTTTTCCTCCCGTCGCAAAAATGAAAATTTGTAATAGGAACACATGATGATAAAAGAGGTATTCGAGATACAGAGTTTGCCGCTGAAAACAAGAGCGCTGATTGGTTGATAATAACCAATCAGTTTAAAACTGACGTCAATAACAACCAATCAGGAGGTAAGGTGCCCTACCGACGGAACGTTCTGATTGGTAGTTAGTGTCGTCACTTGAAGCTGATTGGTTATTATCAATCAATCAGCATTAACTGACGTCACAAACTACCAATCAGGAGGTAAGGTGCCTTACCTACGGAACGTTCTGATTGGTAGTTAGTGACATCAGTTTTAAACTGATTAGTTATTATCAACCAATCAGCGCTCTTGTTTTCAGCGGCAAACTCTGTATCTCGAATACCTCTTTTATCATCATGTGTTCCTATTACAAATTTTCATTTTTGCGACGGGAGGAAAACGATTGAAACCACCGGAATATCTTGATTCCCATTGGATTTTAGAAAAACGTCAAAATTTTGATTCGAGGGTGGCATTTAAATGCCTTTCACAATATATATACATATAATAAATATGTTGATAGATACATTTATTTATATTTTTCTAAGCTATTCAATATTGTTTATAGTCTTCTATAACATTAGTTCTATGAATCTATAAAAAAAAGATCAAGAATATGAATAATAATATTTTTTCACTCTCTCTAAAAATTAAAAAA